GTGTATCAGGGTGGGTTCAGTCAGAAACCATGCAGTTTATTGAACGTAGAAGTTATGAGAAGTTGGCTAACAGGGAAAAGCCTAGAATCTAAGAATAGGTGGATGGGGAGGCTGTAGGAAGAGATCTTAGATGCCTGTGCCACTGACTATGCCCACTTTGGGTGTGGCTACAGCAGGGGAATCATGAATTGGAGACCAGTCTGAGCCACCCAAGAACTTGTCTTAAATCAAATGAACTAGGTAGCGCACGCTTTTAGTCCCAGCACTAGGGAGGTAGAGGCAGGCAGATCTCTGTGAGTTTGAGGCCAGCCTGATCTACAGAGCGAGTTCCAGGACAGCCTCCAAAACAATACAGAGAAACTGTCTCAGAAAAACAAAACAAAAACAAAAAAATCAAACGAACTAAAATACCTGTAAAAATATAGCAGACTGGGCAGGGTAGTGAGCACCTGTAATTTCATCACTTGGGAACTGGAAGCAGGGGAGTGCAGGAAGTTCAAGGACAGCCTGGATTACCTCACACCAAGTCTCAAACACAGCCCCTCCACTCCAGATACAAAAGTGTGGTAAGAAGCAGTTCCTATCCCCTGTATGCCAGTCCCAAACTGAGCTCGAAGCCTCATTGGGAAGGACACAGCTGTGGCCCGCTGAATGCAGAGTGCCTGGGCCCTGGCTGAGAGGTCTGGCTGGGAGGCTACTGGAAAATCTTCTGTATCCCTCACTCTCTGCACTTCTCAACTGGACTCTTGACTTCTAGAGAACAAGAACCTCCCATCTATCTGTCCAGGACAGAAATGTCACGGAGGCTGATGCAAAAGTCACAGAGTCAGTGCCAAGCACAGGTGGCCCCAGATTTATACTGGGAGAAGTGACACCGTCGTTATTTCACCTATTGCTGTTGAGACTTCCTGTTACTTGCCCCCCCCCCACATGATGGCATGCAGGTGTTTCTAGTTAGTGTTGCAATAACACCACATATACTGCTTTAAAATTCCTTGCAGAATAAATTTGTACGTGAGGAACTGCCATTTAAAGTTTTGATAGAGTCAGTTGGGATGCCTCTCTAAAAAAGGAGGGTTTATTTAATTTTTGGTTTTTCTTTTCTTTCTTGTTTTTTCCAAGACAGGGTTTCACTATGTAGCTATGGCTGTCCTGGAACTTGCTCTGTAGACTAGGCTGACCTCAAACTCCAGAGATCTGCTGACCTGAGATTAAGGCACATGCTACCACAGCTTTGCTTTATTTAAAGATTACACTTATTTAATGGGGGAGGGGGGGAAAAAGATTACACTTATTTTGTATGTGTGAATTTCCACGTTTGTTTACCATATCATGTGTTTGGAGATCTGAGGTCAGCTTTCATGAGTGGGTTCTTTCATGAGGTTGGTTCCTGGAATCAAACTCTGGTCATTAGACTGTGAAAAAACTCTTGCTGACCTGGATTATTTTATTTCTTTCTTTCTTTCTTTCTTTCTTTCTTTCTTTCTTTCTTTCTTTCTTTCTTTCTTCCCTTCCTTTCTTTGAGAGGAGGTCTTATTCTGTAGCTCAAGATGGCTTCAAACTCCTAATCCCAGGTCTTGAAGTTGCCCAAAAGTCAAAGAGGAGACCAAATCCCATATGTAAAAGCAAAGAGCTTTTATTCAAGCTCGAGCTTGTATTCCCCATCTGTCCTACACAGCGGTTGAGAGCAGAGAGTGCCCAGCCCAGGTGTGGGAGGTTGTTCATCATAGTAGAGATTGGGGGTGAGAAGATTTTCAAGGTTCAAGACCCTAACTGGTTGACATTTATCTACAGGTGTGTGCTTAGGTTAAAGGACATCAGGTGATCTTATCTACAATGGCTGGAACATTAGGAATTTTCCCCTTGGATAGTCTGATCCTGGGTGGTGCTCAGGTGGTCCCAGTTTGTGGTCTCCCTTGGAGTCAGGTGTTGCCCCAGGGTAAATTGAAACTTCAGGCCTACTTTCTGGTTGGTCTCCACTGAGCCTTGGCAGGGCAGCAGTACAACCAAGCAGCAGGTGTGTACCAAGTTTCCTTGGGCCCCAGAGGCCCAGGTGATGTTTGTTCTACAGGTTCCAAATAGTGAAAGGACAGAACAACTAGTTACTGTCCCACTGTCCTCTGACCTCCCCAGGCAGGCCAGGACATGTGCACACCCACAAATTGAGAATGGTGATACTTGCCTGTCATCCTAGTGCTTGGAAGGTGGAGACAGGAGGCCCATAAGTTAAAAGCCAGACTGTTTGATCCTGACTCAAGCAAAACAACAGCAATGACAAATTAAACAGAAAAAAAAAAAAACCAATGCTACAGTAGCAAAGGGTGCAGAATGAAAACTAAACCTATCTTCTCCACTGGGACAAAGTTCATCTCACTATCAGTAATCATTAACTGTTTCTTGTGGCTTAAATTCAATCTCACCAGTGCAAGTCCAGTGAAAAGACACAAGAATGGATGAACCTGACTGGGTGTTGGTGGCGCACATCTTTAATCCCAGCACTCAGGAGACAGAGGCAGGTGGATCTCTGTGAGTTCAAGGCCAGCCTGGTCTACAGAGGGAATTCCAGGACAACCTCCAAAACAATACAGAGAAACCCTGTCTTGAAAAAACGGAAAAAAAAAAAGGATGAACCTGGACCACACAGGCTGTCGAGTGTTTCCATGGGAACCTCATACCTAGCATAAGATTCCTCTTCTTCTTTGCTCACTTCCTCTTGAACAGCTCTATAGTTATACCTGTTGACTTGCCCACATCTTCTGCATGGTTTGGTGACTGTTCCTTAGAAGTGGAGATTGTGTTATTGTGTCTGTTACTGTGTTATGTCTCTTTATGTAGCCAGATGTTTGGTGTTTGGGTAGGGTTGTTTTCTCTCTCTCTCTCTCTCTCTCTCTCTCTCTCTCTCTCTCTCTCTCTCTCTCACTCTGTTTTTGGAGACAGCATTTCTCTGTGTATCTTTGGAGTCTGTCCTGGAACTCAATCTGTAGACCAGGCTGCCTTGAACTCACAGAGATCCACCTGCCTCTGCCTCCAGAGTGCTGGGATTAAAGGTGTGCGTCCCCACAACCTTTCTCTCTCTCTCTCTCTCTCTCTCTCTCTCTCTCTCTCTCTCTCTCTCTCTCTCTCTTTCTCTGTCCTTTCTGGTTTTCAAGTCCTGGCTGTGGTGGTGCACTGCTTTAATCCTAGCTGAGGCAGAATCAGGAGGATCTTTGTGAGTTCCAGGCCAGCAAGGGCTACGAAGTGAGACTTTGTTAAAAAAAAAATGCATATATATATAATATATTAAATGCGCGCACACACACACAGAGCAAAGAACGAGAGAAAGACAAAGCAGCCAGTAGCTCAGGAATTGCAATAAAAAAAAAATCCTCGTGAAGATCTGTTAAAGTTCTCTGATTTCTTGGTTGGGCTAAATGATTCTAGAGAGTTCTCAAAGCTGAAATGCCAGCACCTCTTTAGGCTGGGTGTTTGCAGCCGTAGAAGCCGGTTCCCACTGGAGGTTCAGTGCCCCCCCCCCACTGCTGCCAGTAGACAGGCACCCTGAAGCTTCCTGCTGCATCACAGCAGAGCACTAGAGACTTTTCACTTGGCTTCTGGTCTCCAGAGCTCCAGGTTCCTTATAGTTCCCTTTTCCTTCCAGCCTGGGCTGGCTCTGAGTCTTTCCTTTGCGCTAGGGGACTGTCCATGTGTTCTCTTTTCTGAAATACACCTTAACATCTGTGTTCCGGTATTAAGGAGGTTAGGGCAGGAGGATAGCGAGTTCGAGGTCAGCCTAGGCTACATGGTAAATCCAGATCAGCATTGGCTACAAGGGAAGACCCTGTCTCAAAAAAACCCTAAAAAACAAACAAAAGACAAAACCAACCAACCAACCAACCATCAATAACAAAGAAACTCAAATAAATCCAAGTTAACTTGTTTTCAGGGTTTCATGTCTCCTAGGCTGGCCTCGGGCTTGCTATGTAGCCCAGGATGACCTGACATTCTCTCCTTGCCTCCACCTCCAGGGATCCCAGGGAACGCAGACTAGGGTCCTACCTGTACCTAGAATTCAGACCACAGCTTTTTATTATAAAATGCTCGGCAGGGCAGTGGTGGCGTAGGCCTTTAATGCTAGCACTTGGGAGGCACAGGAAGACGGATCGTTGAGTTCAAGGCCAACCTGGTTTATAAAGGGAGCTTCAGGGTAGCCAGACTGTTATACAAACTCTGTCTCGAAAAACAAACAAAATGCTCATGGTGGCCAAACAGAGGACCCACAAAATCCCGAGTTACGGACAGTAGGAGGTGCTACTTGGTCCCTGGAGCGTTAGTGGGCGAACTTTAGGCGTGTCTGCCTGAGTAGGGTAAGTTCCCATTTCAATTAGAAAAGCATGTGACAATGGCTGGTGGTGACGCAAACCCGATGGTGACCAGAGTAGGGATCTTGTCTCTGCAAACACGAGAAGGAAAAACCTCCTGAAAACGTCCTCGGGTCACTTGTGCACCACCTGCTGGGAAGTCACCAGGGGACGTGCGCGTTCCCAGCGAGGCTGCCGCACGGGATGCTTTGGGTGCCCTGTCCGAGCCAGTTTCGCTATCCTCTGTGGCCACTGCATTCGTGCTGACTAATAGTAAGGGTCAGCAATGAGGGCTCTACCGAAACGCATGCGGGAAAAAAAAGTTTTGATGTGGAGAGGAAAAACAAAACACAACAAAAAATGGGAAACTTTGTCACTTGGATCCTTTGGTACCAAGTCTCCAGGGAAGATAGGAGAGGGGGTCCTCGGGGACAGCACTCGATCTACGAGGAAAAGAAAGGAAAAGGGAACGGAAGGCACAGCTAGCGCATCCTCTTAACCGCCCCAGAGGGCACAGCGGCCCTGGGGCTGTCTTTGGAGAGGTCCATCCCTCCTTGTCAATCAGCTCCACCTGGTATTGTGATTGGCTGGCTGCCTCCTTGCTCCCCGCGCCCCACCTCCTAGTTGCATGGGGTTTACTTCCCCAAAGCACACGGGCCCCACCTTGTGGATCAACCGCTCCTGCCTGAACCGAGGGTTTCCGCCCAGAGGAAGATATGTAAGCCAATGAGAGTGGGTGTGTACAGTTATTGGCTTATCTGGGTGTCGCTCACAGGGCATCCCGCCCTCGGCCTCATAGTCCATTCAAGTATTGGTGAGGCTTCGTGTCCATCTGAACTCTGGATCCCGTAGTCATAGGCAGATGCGGCAGCCACTCAAGAGCCCGGCCCCTGGACGAAGACACTGTCCAATCGCGACCAAGAGGCACGGTGGCGGGGCGGTCATTGGTCCCTGTAAGCGGCTCGGAGCAGCATGTTGGGCTGAGCGTGGCTATATAGCTGGCGGCGGGCACGCGTGCCGCGGCATCGCGCTAGGGACGCCGCCACCTAATCCCGCGCAGCAGCCCTGTCCTCCCGCTCAGCCGCGCAGGTACGTGGGTCGCGGATGGGGCGGGGCGGATGCGGGCCGGGCGGGAGCGGAGCTGAGGCCGCGAGCGGGACACCCGGGGAGGCCGCGCGGCGCGTCCCCACCCCCACCAACGGCCGGCGCGGCCTTCTGACTGCGCCCTGGGCCCCGCGCGTGGTCTGTCGCGCCAACGGCCTTATGGGGCCCCCGGTGGGCGTCACGCGGCTAAGTGGCCCGCGTGCTCTATATGCATCTTCCTGCGCGTGCCTTCTCTCCGGGTTGATGTAGCTGGGCCTGGATTTAAGGAAGCCTTCGGGATGTGAGGAATGGGGGTGGGGGTGGGGGTACCCACGCTGAGAACGCGATCGCGCCTCCCAGGTCTGTAGAACGGAGGCGCACGACCCCGGAATCAAGGGTTTAGTGGTGCAGGGACAGTCAGCCCCAAGCCATGGTCTCTCCAAACTCCCATAGTGTGTGTCCCTTCACTATGCCGAGAGCTTCCTCCTTTCCCGCCCTTCCCGGTCACCTGGGCCCGATCAGGTAGGTATAGTGACCTGGAAACGGAGGTGGGTGACTTGGACCAAGGCCCTCAGTGGGAAGGGACAGGCATCCGTAGATTGCGTGGTGGCTGCGGGACACCCTTGACCCCTGAGCTCTTGAACCTGGGTGCAAACCTCAGCATGGGAAGATCTGTGGTGGCATCTGTGCGAGCCAGTGGCAGACTCAGGGGAACGGAGGTTGCAAGTGAGCTTTTGAATGACAAAGGAAGACTTCGCTTTCATCGAAGCTAAACGGATTCATATATGGAGAGTTGATAGATGCGCCTTCAGGCTAGTTTCTGGAAAAAACAAGATAAGAAAATACAGCTGGTGTAACGTAGTGAACGAGTGTGCCCCTCAGCAGATCCGAAACGCACCGGAGGTAATGGGAAATTCCCGCCAGCAGGAAGTCAGGCGCTGTCACTAGGTTTTGGCTTTTCCAGATCCCTTTTAGTTTTTAATGTTTTAGTTTTGAATTAGAGCAAACTTAAAAAAAAAACTTTGAGAAGATTATAGTTCAAGGAAACGAGTTTAAATTCTCACCGGAGTTGAGGTGAAAGTTTGAAATTGGATAGGACCCTGGATCTAGCTCAGAGGTGGAGTCCTTGGCTTGGAATGCAGGAAGCCCCAGGTCCAATCACCAGAGCCACCAATAAGTCACATCTGAAATTGCTGGGGAAAGGATGGTGTCCAGTGTCCAGTGATTGAACTGGAATGCAATCACTGGTTGGGTTTGTTGTCAAGCACAGCGGTTAGGTCTCCTGCCAAACCACCTATGATCAACTTATTCTTCTCACTGTGGAGCCCTGACTGGCATGGAAAGAACTCAGAACCTCCTGAGTGTAGGAGTTAAGGTGTATCCCACCAAGACCAGCCCAACTATTTTAGCCCTTATTTGGCTGGATTCGTAATGTTTGCAAGGATGTTTTCAAGGATTTGTGGTCAACCTATTTTTCTGTGTACTGACTATATTTTTAAATATTTAGGATCATCTTTACTCAGGATTTTATTAAACGTGTTAGTTTGTAGATCCAAGTCATCGTGTAAGTTTCCAACTGAAAAGGAAAAAGACAGCAACAAAAATTTTGGGACTAGCTCTCAAGGCACATACCCTTGCAAAAAAAGGTTAAAAACCAAAGAAGCTTAATATTGTTTTTCAAATAAATACAAAGTGGCAATAAAGAACTAAACACAGTGAGGATGAGTGCTGAATTTACTGGATTACTTCTGAATATAACATTGTTTCCTTGGAACTTGCTGCAGTTAACCTGCAGGTAGTCTAATAGTAATTCATCACTTTTTTTTTTTTTGGTTTTTCGAGACAGGGTTTCTCTGTAGCTTTGGAGGCTGTCCTGGAACTCACTTTGTAGACCAGGCTGGCCTGGAACTCACAGAGATCCGCCTGCCTCTGCCTCCCGAGTGCTGGGATTAAAGGCGTGCACCACCAACGCCCGGCTGTAATTCATCACATTTTAAAACAAGGTAATGACCTGCCTTTAACCTGGGAAGTTTGAGTCCAGCTAATTTTATTAACTGCTTGAAGTCAACTCTCTTAAGGTGAAAGTATCTAATTGAGGGGAACTTTTGTTAATTTCATCTTCAGTGTTTTAAAGGAGCTGTGCTCTTGGCCTCAAAAAGATGGTTAGTAGAGCAGGAATAGGAAATGTACAAACTCGCTCTTATTGTCAGAAAGAGGTGAGATGCAGCACAATGACAGAAGCCGTAGGTCTCTCCCTCCCAAGCTGGCCAGAGGTTACCAGTTACTGGTGTTTGGATTTCTTGATCTGTAGATCATGCTGGCCTCAGACTCAGAGATCTGTCTGTCTCTGCCTCCAGAATGCTGGGACTAAAGGTGTGTGCTACCAACACCTGACTGCATATGTTTTTTATTTTTCAATGGAGGAGTTCAATGCTAACAGGTTTATTTAATAGCTGAGAATTTGTGACTCAAACCAAGTTTTTTTCTGCATATTTTGTCAATGTAATAAAACTGCCTAGTTAGTTTTTTAAGTTACAGTATTCAAATAGAATGTATACTTAAATTATATCACATTGCTGAGGAGTAATTGTCAAATGGGTAGTTCAAGCCTTGAATGGTGATGCACACCTTCAATTCCAACATTCTGAGACAAAAGGCACTGAGTTCCAGGCAAGCCTGGTCTATATGGTAAGCTGTAGGTCAGCCAGAGCTTCACTGTGAGACCCTGCCTCAAAAAGAAAAAAAAATAAAGAACTGTCATGTCCCCCTTCCCCTGTAGTTGTCTCTGCTAGTGGGGGAGCCTCTGCCCAACCAGCAATTAAATTTAGATTCAGCAGCTGTCACCCCACTTGTAGCCAGTGACCAGTGTTTATTGGCTAGAAATATTTGCTATTTAGCTTTTTTTTATGTGCAAGCAACTTTTATGTGGGAGTTGCTAGTTATGCTAGCTAGGTGAGAGCTAGGAATACTTGTAATGCATAGTTTGCATTATAAAGCAGAAAGCTGCCCCTAGGAAGGGAGGTCTTGGCTTTGTGATGTTCTTCAGCATGCACTGCATTTTAGGTATAAAAGGCAAAGATTAAAGGTCAGTGAGAGAATGTGTCTGGAATTGGGGCACATCATTATAGGTATCAATTTCTGGTGACTGGTCACTAAGTGGCTGCCTTGGTGTGGTGGATTGAAATTGGGACTTAATATGGACACTCAACCACAACCCCAGGTTCCTCTGATGTTTTAAAGATGGTCTCAGCTACATAGGGAATTCAGGCCAGCCTGGATTACTTCAGACCCCATCTTAAAAAAATCCTGACGTGTTTACCTGTGTGTTGAGGGATCCAAGAAGCTTTGGTATTGAGTGTAATGTACCTTTCCATTTACTCAGTTTTCTTTTTTTGTGGTTCTTGGGATCAAACCAGAACTAGGACCTTGTGCATGCTGAGCTAGTGTTCTGCCCTTGAGCTGCAGCCCTAAATTTTGGGGTGTTGCTGTCTAGCACAGGCCACCTGGGCTCCTGAGGCTGGGCTTAAGGTGTGGGCTGTCACACCTCTGCTAACTTTTAGAATGGGCAGGGGCTGACTACTCAGGGAGAGAAAAGCAAATTGTCCAGCTTGCTAGAACTTGTAGTTTTTCTTCCTGGAAAACTTAGTATTTGAGATAATTTTAGATTTGCAGAAGAATTGCCACAGATCTGTGTCTCATTAACACACAATCAACGGTATTTCTCAAAACTAATGAAGCTGGTGAAACCCCATTAACATGCTTCATTTCGGTTTCCTCATCTGCAAATGTCCTTTCTCTGTTTCAGGATCCACCTGAAGTTCCCCATCCTTTAGTCTTGTCTCCTTTATCTCCTCACTTCTCCAAGTTTCTGTTCTTTGTCCTTCACAGCCTTGATGTTTAGGATCTCCTTTGGATTTGTCTTATGACTGGATTGGGTTTATAGTTTTGGGGGGAGACCACAGAGGTCTTGTCTGTACCATATCCATAGCACTGGAGCTTGTACCTGGACAGTGTGGGGAGGGTCAGGTAGCATGTGCCATGTTTCTGTGTTTCCCTTTCCACGGTTTATTAAGTCCAACTCATACCCAAGGGAAGGGAAATGCCACTGTTTCCTTTAGGAGTTTGTAGGTATGTATACTAAGGCTGCTAAGATTTATGACTTTTTGTGAGGAACTTTTCACTTTGTAGACCAGGCAATTCTTGAGCCTCTGCCTTGAAAAGGCTTACACCACCTCATCCAGCTGGCTTTTGTTTCTGAGGTAGGGTTTCCTATAATCTAGTTTTTTTTTTTTTTTTTTTTTTTTTGGTTTTTCGAGACAGTGTTTCTCTGTATTGTTTTGGAGGCTGTCCTGGAAGTCTGTAGACCAGGCTGGCCTCAAACTCACAAAGATCCAACTGCCCTGCCTCTGCCTCCCGAGTGCTGGGATTAAAGGTGTGCGCCACCAACGCCCAATTTATAATCTAGTTTCTTTTTGTTGTTTTGATACAGGATTTCTCTGTCTCCCAGGATAGCCTTGAACTTGACCTGTCTTGGCCTCCTGAAATGCTGGATTACAGCACCCCCAGCTCCTCTTGTTAATTTTTTTTCTTTGAGTTGTGTCTAGTATTATTGTAACCTTTTTTTTTTCCTTGTTTCTCTGTGAACAGCTCATGGCTGTCCTGGAATTTGCTTTGTAGACCAGGCTGGTCTTGAACTCACATTTGCCTGCTTCTGTCTCCATGCTGTCCTTGAACTCAAAGATCTGCCTGCCTCTACCTTGAAAGCTGGCATTAAAGAAAGGCATGAGACACACTGCTTGGTTATCCCTATCTAATTTTTAAATTACTTGTATGTAAATGTTTTGCTGATATAATCACTCTGCTCCCCCCTTTTGGTATTTCTTTTTTTAGAGATTGACAGTAAACCTAGGGTCTTGGGTGTGCTAGACCCCGGCACTGTGACTTCAGTATGTTTCCAGTCCTCTCTACTTTTTGTTTGAGATGCTTATTTTCTTAGGATGGTCATG